TGAAATTAATTTTTAGTCTTCGCACTTGTCTAATAATATGTGTGTGTGGGAGAGGGGGGGGCAGTTTTCACTTTTTAAAAATTATTTTTTACATTTTTTATTCTTTTTTAAAAATATTTTTTTTAAATTATTATTATTCATTTATTTATTTTTTACTGTTGGGGGGGCTACGGGGAAATATTAAGGGTCCAAACAGACCCCTGACATTTCCCTTTTAAAATAGAAAATAAATTGAGGACACCAAACCCTCAATTTCTTTTTCAGCATCCTCAGCACTCAATGAATGGGAAGCACTCAGTACAGAGGCTCCTACCATTCAAATACTTACTATCAATAGTTTCTGAATGGGGAGGAGCCTCTGTACTGAGTGCTTCTCCCCATTGAGGAAATCTTGAATGAACAGGCTGCGATGTAAATCACAGCCTGTTCATTCATAACTGGGGACCCATAGTACTATGTGTCCCCAGTTATTTACAAACACTGGAGTGATCAGACGATCTCACACGGATGATCGGTAAATATCAATGATATTTACCGATCTCCCGCTCTGCCACGCACAGAGCCGCTGTCATCCTGAGACTGACAGGATGACAGCTGCTCCGATCTCCTACCCGCTCGGCCATCCTGACAGCTGCGGGCACGGCTTCTCTCTCCCTCACCGCTTGGCCATCCTGACAGCAGACAGCGCTCCCTCCTGCGCCCCCACCCCGCCCGCGGGGGCCGCTGGAGGGAGCACTGTTATGTCGGATGGCCAGAGGTGAGGAGGAGAGAAGCCACCCCGAGGGTAAGGTGTGTCGGCCGCCTGGCGCCTTTGTTGCCATGGCGCCCTGTGCGGCCGCACAGCTCGCACTCCCCTAAGGCCGGCCCTGGGTGGGTGCAATGCTCTGGCTCCTGCAGACTCTTCCTCCCTTCCATGTACGTACCTCGGTACAGATATTCAGTAACATGGATGGGAGGAAGAATGAATGGGCTACTAGTGTAGTGACATCACCGCACTTGTATTCCATTGAATCCTGGGACTTGTAGTTTCTCCATTCATACATCCTGACCAAGGATTTCCATCCACACAGTCGCACTGAATTCAAAATACAGCAGCAGCCTGCGAGCAGAAGAACCCTACAATTCAAGTATGTGGGGGGGGGAGGGGAGGGGGGGGGGAGCGTGGGGGGGTAAGGGGGTGGCGAGAGTGGTGTGGTAATGTGACTGTGTTGCATGTTCCATCCTGAACATGGGTGTAACATGCAATATGGTCTCAGGGCCATATACAGTGCTGCAAGCACTATTTTTTCTGATCGCTCTGGACCGAAACGTAGGCATTGATGGTCCATGTGGTGTGGGCAGTTGCACTGCAGGCGGGGGGATGTCCGTGGCGCCATTGACTTCAATGCACCGTCACGCCCCCTCCCACCCCAGAACGCAGGGAGCCAGTCCGGATGCGATACAGTGCATTCCAGGAGCAAATCGTGCTGGAACGCACTGTATATGGTGTAAACAGGCCCGGCGCTACCGCAAGGCAAGTCGAGTGGCCGCCTGAGGGCGCTGAAGGGTGAGGGCGGAAAAAACAAGGCATTTTGACAAGTACTTGTCAAAATTCCCCGATTCATAGCGCAAATGCTTGCGCTATGTTGTTTTTCTTTTCTTCACTTACATTCTGTCAGAGACTTACCCTGCAGCAGTCCGGCCGGGCATCGCGGCTCCACCGCCAACAGAGTCGTCTCCTAACGTCAGGGGGGAGAAGCCGACGGCTGCACGTTGCTCCGCTCCTTTCTCGCCGCTCTATACGATAAGACGGCGGGAGTTCTAGCAATGTGGAACATTGAGCAATTGCTCTCTCCGTCCTGCACCGCTCTCCATCCTGAACCCGGGGTATTCCGTGGCCAGCATCTACACAGAAGGACTCATCCTGTGACCGGCTCCCTTCCAGAACCTGCAGCTGATCTCAGCATTCCCTGTCCAGCAATACAAACTACCAACCGCAAGTAACCCATTATAGATATGGTTTGACTACATAGAGACTTTCAGCTGCCTTGAATAGTTTGCATTGCTTTGAGCTACTCCCTATTCTTTGGAACCTGCTGTCTGCCTATCATCTAAACTGGCTACTCATATGTATTGGCTATAGTCCAGCATGTGTCCTAGATAACCTACAGTGGGGGGTTGTAAGTGCAGGACTACAACTCGCCTCAGACCCCAGGGAATAGTCTCTGCTGTTTTCCTTCTATTATTTCAGGGGCGCGCAAAAATGCACCTTCGCCAGTGTAGGCAAAAATCCTTGCACCGGCCCTGGGTGTAAACAAGCCCTAAAACAGGAGTAGGCAAACTCTGGCGCTCCAGTTGTGGTGCAACTACATATCCTACATATCCTATTAGGCCCTACAAGGCTCTGACAGCCACAGGCATGGCTTCCCAGAAGCAGATGAATGCCGGGATATGTAGTTTCACCACAAGGGCCTGGAATTTGCCTACCACTGGTCTAAGAGGTGATCTTACCCTTTAACTGCTTCAGGACCGCCGAACGTAGATAAACATCCGCATCCTGAAGCAGTTCTACCAAGATCACGGCTGCTGCAGCAGTTTGGGAATTGTCGTTTTTTGCAGTTTTATGGGCGCATGCAATTTTAAGGCTTGACATTTTTGGTAACCCGATGTGACTCCATCTTTTATATTTTACCAAAAAATTGGGTATGATATGCTGTTTCTGTGCACTAAATTTAATTGTACTGTATGTTATTCTAAAAATACTGGTTTGA